GCTCTGTCTCTCCCTGTCTCAAAAATAAATAAAAACGTTAAAAAAAAAAATTTAAGAAGAGTTAATACCTATTCTTTTGAAGCTGTTCCAAAAAATAGAAATGGAAGGAAAACTTCCAAACTCATTTTGTGAGGCCAGCATTACCTTCAAAACCAAAGACCCCACTAAAAAGGAGAATTACAGACCAATTTCCCTGACCAACATGGATGCAGAAATTCTCAACAAGATACTAGCAGATCAAATCCAACAATACCTTAAAAGAATTATTCACCATGATCAAGTGGGATTTATTTCAGGGCTATAGGGATGGTTCAATATCCTCAAATCAATCAGTGTGATACATCACATTAATAAAAGAAAAAAGGGGCGCCTGGGTGGCTCAGTCGGTTAAGCAACCGACTTCGGCTCAGGTCATGATCTCGCAGTTCGTGAGTTTGAGCCCCACGTCGGCCTCTGTGCTAACAGCTCAGAGCCTGAAGCCTGCTTCGGATTCTGTGTCTCCCTCTCTCTCTGCCCCTTCCCCACTCATGCTGTGTTTCTCTCTGTCTCTCAAAAATGAATAAATGTTAAAAAAATATTTAAGTAAATAAAAGAAAGGATAAGAACTACATGATCCTCTTAATAGAAGCAGAAATAATTTTAAATATATGAAACTATTTGTGTATATATTACCATATATTTGTGTATAAGGTTATTATAATGTTACTTATAATACTGAAATACTGGAAAGTAATGAAATCTTGAAGAATAGGGAAATTACAAAGTAAATTATATAGCTATGTAGTAGATCACTTTGCATAATTATGGTATGGTTTATTGTATTGAATTTTTTTAAAGTAAATTTTTAAAGTAAATTGGTTTTAAAACTAATTGCTTCTAAAAAGCGAACAACAAGCATTCTATTAAAGGATTAAAAACTTTATTTCCATTAAAATCAGTTGTAAGTCAGGAATGCACGTTATCATTAATATTCTTTGGTATTGTTTTAGGGGTTGTAGCTAATGCAAAGAAGGGAAAATAAAATAAGTATGTATATTAGAAGAAATTATCTTTACATATAAATGATATAATCTCATACCTAGGAAACCAAGACTACTAAAACTTTAATAATTAATATGAAACTTAATAGTTGTATAGATACTAGTATGAAGATATAAAATTGATAATTTCTCTCTGTACTAGTAATAATCACGTGTAAATTAAATATAAAGAAATTTATAATGCTAACAAAATCTATAATATTTTTAAAGTTAAGCTTAATAAGAAAGGAGAGGACATATGTGAAGAGAACCATAAAATTTTCGAGGATATAAGACCTGAATAAAAGGGAGGCTATCTTGGATTAGAAGATAGCCTCATAAAATTGTCAGTTCATTCCAAATAATGTATAAGTTTAATACATTTCCAGTCAAATACCCATTATATGTTTTCAAACTCAACAAACTCTAAAGCTTACATCAAAAATAGATTTGGGGGCGCCTGGGTGGTGCAGTCGATTAAGCGGCCGACTTCAGCTCAGGTCAAGATCTCATGGTTTGAGTTCGAGCCCCACGTTGGGCTCTGTGCTAACAGCTCAAAGCCTGGAACCTGCTTCAGATTCTGTGTCTCCCCCTCTCTCTCTGCCCTTCCCCTGCTCATGCTCTCTCTCTTTCTCTCTTTCTCTCTCTTTCTCAAAAATAAATAAACATTAAAAAAAATTAAAAAATAAATAGATTTGGGGGCGCCTGGGTGGCTCAGTCGGTTAAGCATCTGACTTTGGCTCAGGTCACCGTCTCATGGTTTGTGAGTTTGAGCCCCACATCAAGGTACTCTCCTGTCAGCATGGAGCCTGCTTCGGATCCTCTGTCTCCCTCTCTCTGTATCTCCCCTGCTTGTGCACACTCTTTCTGTCTCTCTCTCTCTCAAAAAGAAATAAACATTAAAACAAAAATAGTTTGGAGGATTGCCAGTAAAGATTTAAAAAGCATTAGTGGGAGAAATTTAAAATTAAAACTGTGTTCTTGGTACAAGGAAATCAGTGGAATAAAAAAGAGTCCAGAAGTAGAGCCAAGAACAAATGAGAACTTGCTGTTTGATTAAAGTCACGTTTCAGTTTTGTGGGACTATAGATAGTTCATTTAATAATGGTGCTAGCAAAATTGGCTATCTTTGCAGTAAAACAAAGTTAGATTCCTGCTTCATACTCCGCACAGATGTAAATTCCAGATGAATTAAAGCCCTTTATGAAAAAAACCAAAACCAATAAAAACGTTGGAAGAAAAGTTAGGAGATGTGAATAGTCTGAGGATGCTCAGAATGCATAAAGGAAAGGATGGACGAATTTGACTACATACAAATGTTAAGTTCTGTGTGGGAAACAATACCATAAACAAAGTCAAAAGACAGTAGTGGGTTGGGGGAAAGTCCTTGCAATAGGTTTGGCAGACAAGGTGTTAGTATAAGGACTTTTATCCAGAGAAAAAGAAAACATAATAATAGAAAAATAGGCAAAAAATATGAATAGGCAATTCATGGAAGAAAAGGTGCAATTTGATAATAAACATAAAAAAATGTGTTGCTTGATCTCCCTAGTGGGGGGACGGAAATCACACCACCAAGGTAGAGCTTTCATCCGTAGGGCTGACATTAAAAGGTCTGTGTAAAACACTTCTGACAAGAAAGTGGAAAAGCAGTCTCCTTCATTGCTTTTTGGAGTACTTTGTAAAATATTACGAAGCTCTATTATAGTATATGTATAGTAAAATCCAAAAAATGCATCCCCTGTGTTTCAATTTTTAATTCTTTATGGAAGTGATATCAATCGGTTATATCTTTGTGTGTGTGAGTAGTATTATATACTTGCAGACTGGACTGTGCACCCATCGTTTGAGGAATGGTTGAGCCATACTATGGTGCATTATGTAGCCATGAAAAAGAAATGAAGGAGACCTAGATATGTTGACTTAAGAGATGGCCATGGTCTACTTTGAAGTCCTAAAAAAGTTAAGTGTAAAATCTATGGCATGAATCCTTTTTTGTTGTTGTTGGCATGAACCCAATTTATAAAAAAGAAAGCAGTCCCTTATGTGAGGATTGTGTTAGTTTGCTAACACAATGCCACAGGCTGTGTGGCTTGAACAACAGAAATTAATTTTCTCCCAGTTTTGGAGGCCAGAAGTTCCAAGATCAAGGTATTAGCAGATTTGGTTTCTCCTGAGCCCTGTCTCCCTACCTTGCAGACAGCCTCTTACCGGTCTGTCCTGTGTAAGTGTGTATCCTGGTGTTTCTTCCTCTTCTTATAAGGCCACTAGTCATACTGGATGAGGACCCCTCCCTTATGACCTCATTTAACCTTAATTACCTCTTTAAGGCCAGACCCTATCTCCAAATCCAGTCACATTGGGGGTTAAGGCTTCAACATATGAATTATCAGCGGGGAGAGTATACAGTTCTGTACAATTCAGTCCATTTCAAGTGTGTGTGTGCATTTGGCAATTCAGATGTGTGTGTGTGTCTGTGTGTGTGTGTGTGTATGATTCATATATATGTGTGTGTATTTGGCAACTCATATATAAATATATGTAATATGAATGTAAGGGAGGAAGAAGGCAAACCAAACTTAACGTTGGTCACTTGGGCGTGGAGAGAGAAGCTTATGGATATGGAGAGGGAAGATTTGGCTTTTTCTTTATAAACCTTGGTGGTTTGGGGCTTGTCATAATAAGCAAGTTTTGCTTTTGATGTAATGATTTTCTAGAAAATGTCAACTACAGATTTCTACCAAGGAGCGGAAACGCTGAACATACAAATAACTATAGAAGAAATTTGAAAGATTGTTAAAGACTTGCCACTAAAAAGGCTACCATCAGGCACAGAAAGTTTATGGCTAAAAATTCTGTGGATTCTTCAAATTATAGATAATGCCTGTGTTAATCAAGCCCTTTTGGTCAATAGAAAAAGATGATTATGTCCTACTTAATTTTTTAAAAGCCAGCATAAATGTAATACGAAAATGTACATTTTGTGATAGTTTACACATAGAGAAAACACTATAAAATGATTTTACTTTTGACTTATAAATGCAAACATTTACAAAATATAGTAAGTTAAAGCCAACAGTACTGTTAAAAAGGACACATTGTTTATTCTAGGAGTGTAAAGGTAGTTTAGCATAAGAAACCTATCAACCAGTTTATTATATCAGCATATTAAAAGGGATTATATCATTAGATATGGAAAACATTATGATATGTTCATTCAGTACCCTTTCCTAATAAAAAACTAAGTAAAATAAGAAAAGAGTACTTTTTAATAGTGTGGTGAAATATTTATGATATTTGCTGAAAATGTCTCTTGTCTGTTTTATTATCTTCAAAAAAAAGCAGGTTCGTTTGTTTTGCTTTGTGTTAGTGAATTGCAGTTACCATTTATTGTGAAATTTGTGACGTATTTTCTCCAGTCTCTCTGTTTTCCCTTTACTGTTCCAATGATTCTATTGGCTTTTGCATCTTCACTTAATCCTGCATCGGTAGTATACCTTGTCCATAGTTATCTCCTTTAAACTTAGAGAAATAATTATGTCATAATTAAAATAGTTATTTTGACTTAATTGCCTTTTACAATTTATATAGGTATCATTGCAACTTGTGCTGTATGCATAAATATTCAGATAAACATTACGGTGTTACATTGGTGCATAGTCAACAAATAATTGGAATGGAATGAATCTGTTTACACCAAGTGGATTGGTCATGTGTGTGTGCGGTGCTGGAGGGGATCCATGTGCCCGCCACAGACACAGCAAGTGTGACAATAGCTGACGCGGCGCAGTGGTTCAAGTGAAATGAAGTCTTAGCAAAACAACGAAGTTGTGTTTAATAGAAAACTACACTTTTTTTTTTTAACTTTAAAATTTTTGTTCAAACAATGTTCAGAGGTCCCATGTCCCCTTCTGCCATCTTCCCCGGTGTTAACATCTTGTATACCTGTAGTACAATATCAAAACCAGCAAATTGACTGTGGTCCGATTCACAGAGCTGATTCACATTTCACTGGTTTTACCTGCAGTCATTTGTATGTGTGGATAATTCTGTGCAGTCTTATCACGTGTGGATCCACGTAGCCACCCCCACAATCAAGATACGGCACTTTGCTCTTGCCACAGGCTGCTCTGGGCGACCCTTTTATAATGACACACCCTTGCTTCCATTTTTAAGCTGAAATTGAAATCAATTAAAAAAAAAATTATTTCCTCAGTCACACCACCATTCAAGTGCTCAGCAGCAAAGTGTGGCTGGTGGCTATCATATTGGGCAGTACAGGCCTAGACTTTAGACATTGTAAGGTTCTCAAGGCTCTAAGATAATATGCTCACTTTCTTTTAAGGTTCTTATCCCCTAAGGTCTTCCTTGGTGAATCAGAACTAGGTTAAAAATAGCTGGTCTCTTTTCTGGTTCCTCTTCTCTCTACATTGGTTCCTGATTCTTCACTAGTATTTAATTAATTAATAGTTTATTTTAAATATAACCCCATTAAAACCCCCACGATACACTTCAGAGAGGTATTGAGGTATTCTGTTTGTTAGGCTAGATAGTATGCTGTAATGTAAGGGATTTGCTGATATTTTACTTAGGACAAACATGCAGATCCTAGGCAGAGATGACAGAGGATGTTTATTCATTATTAAAGGCCTGGGATTTTATTCTAAATGAGTTTCAACTTGATATGCAGAACTTCTGAGTGCTTGTCATGTAATCAGATCAGTAGATTAGCAGTAGATGGTTACTGTATAACATAGATGGCTGAATACTTTACTGTTGTGGAGTACAGGCAGTAATACAGTGCAGACTGTCCAGTTGAGCAGTGAAAGTAAAGTAATAATTGTATGCCATGCTGTGTCCCACGTAGGCAGTTGAGATGGCTGTAGGATTATCTGTGCTGTTTTCTTCCCCCTCATCCTAAAATGAAAGAATTCTAGAAAACGAGGGAACTTGAGAATAATCTGGACTGTGAGTGGCTTCTTGTTTAAAACTTTTTCTTATGATGCAGATTTACCTCTTGATACTGATCTAGAAAATGAAAAACCATCTGAGATCATATTGGCTGAGCTGCTCGGTGACATGATCTGGCAAGACTTGTCTGAGTGCCTCATTAAAAACTGTTTGGTTTATTCTATCCCAACTAATAGCAGCAAGTTACAGCAGTACGAAGAGGTAAGTACAGAGACGTCACACAAGGTTTTCAGAGACTGTAGGTGCCTGTCGGTGTCTTTTGTAATTCCTTAGAGACTTTTGCTCTTCAGAGACATCTTTAAGGAAATTATAATAGGAGGTGGAAGCAGCTTTTCCTGTTACTTCATTTCTCTCCGGGCTTTCTACCTTTCGACTGGGAAGTAGGTTTTCTTTTTAGGTATATTTTCTTTAGTGAGATACTTTTGAAAAACAATTGTTCTTTTATACTTGTATCAGCTCTAGTATCTCTTATGCGACACTGTACCTTTTTGCTTCTTTTTAGTGTTTCCATGAACACTAAAATAAATGTATTTGTTTTAGAGATCTTTGCTCTTTTACTAAGTAGAGTAAGAAATTTATATTGAAGGTACTATTCTTAGTGAATTTAAGGCTGGAAAAATATATAATATATGTATACCTGCTAAGTGCAGGTCTGCTCTAAAACTTAAATGACCAGCCTGGGGGCGCCTGGGTGGCTCAGTCGGTTAAGCTTCCGACTTCAGCCAGGTCACGATCTCGCGGTCCGTGAGTTCGAGCCCCGCGTCAGGCTCTGGGCTGATGGCTCAGAGCCTGGAGCCTGTTTCCGATTCTGTGTCTCCCTCTCTCTCTGCCCCTCCCCCGTTCATGCTCTGTCTCTGTCCCAAAAATAAATAAACGTTGAAAAAAAAAAATTAAAAAAAAAAAAAAATGACCAGCCTGTCCTTGTTACTTTTTGTACATTGGATTTGAAATTTTAATATTGGAATGGAATATATGTATATAATTCTTTTTTCCCCCATGTCTCTCTTTCTCAGATCATACAGTCCACTGAAGAATTTGAAAATGCCCTAAAGGAGATGAGGTTTTTAAAAGGAGATACTACTGATTTGCTGAAATATGCCCGTAACATCAATTCTCATTTTGCTAACAAGAAATGTCAGGATGTGATCGTGGCAGCTAGAAATCTAATGACCTCTGAAATTCACAACACTGTGAAGGTACTGGGGCTATCTTGTATTACACTGTATTTAGGAAGCCGCTCATTTTTGAGAGAAATTTGGCAGAGTGGAACAGAGCACGACAGTTGCTGAGCTCCCTGGGAGAAGTTACTCATCTTCTGACATTAGTTCTCATCTTTCAAGTGGTCCTGCTCTCTGCCCCTCTCACGGAATGCTGTGAGGCCCAAATAAGTAGTGCACCCGAAAGCATTGTATACATGGAAAAGCCCGTGTAGATTAATTACCTTTGTTGAAATTAGACAGTATACCAACCTATGTAGATTTTTCTTAACTTTATTACTTGAGATTTTAGTACACAATTTTGTGACACATGTAATTGGGCTTCATTATGTCCAGAGATTATACTCTATTGTGAACATGTTGACTTCATCTGTGAGGCTACTAGCGGCCCTAGTTTTGAAGTCAAGATAATAAAACAAACAAAAAAGATAGAATCTTTTTAGGGCATTGACAATTATCCGCAGTCAGTGGACTCTTTAATTTGCATAAAGGGGTAATTTACCCCTTTGACCTTAGACAATTTTGTGTATTTTCTTTTCTGTTTTTTTTTTCATATTTTACACATATAAAATAATATTTGGTAATTGGAAGGTGTTACTTAGATTAAAGTAAAACGTAAATGAAAGTAGTCCCTTAATGTAAAATTCCTCAGCCAGTTTTCTCCTGTCCCATTGTTAGGGATTAGGCTCTCCCTCCCTCTGTTTCTCCCTTTACCATCCTCCCTTTTCCTTGGGGGTAGTCCACTCCTTGTGTCCACTGAGAAAAACAGTTAATTAGCCATTAGAGGTGCACAGATTTTAACACACTTTGAGGTATTTTGGATTGTTAAGGAGCTGCAATTCACTCGGTCCCAGGAACTGTGCTGTGGGGTCTTATTTACTTTTTTACATAAATATCACTTGATTATGTAACTCCTGCCCCAAACCAAGTGGCTTCCCATCTCCTATAGAATGAGACCCTATAGTCTGACAGCCGCCTCCAAGATTGTACAGGGTTTGCCCTGACATTGCCTCTCTCTCCCTGTCTCCTGTTATTTTTCAGTCACCACAGCATACGACTGCTGGACTCCTTGCTGTTACCTGGATGTGTTGGGCCCACTTGTGGCAGAGCCTTTGAATCTCTTGTTCCCTCTGCTGGGGACATGTTTTAAATCTTTTTTTTTTTTTTT